CAGTCGGAGTGTAACCGACCTTTTGTTCGGAGTGTAACCGACCTTTTGTTCGGAGTGTAACTGACCTTTTGTTCGGAGTGTAACCGACCTTTTGTTCGGAGTGTAACTGACCTTTTGTTCGGAGTGTAACTGACCTTTTGTTCGGAGTGTAACAGACCTTTTGTTCGGAGTGTAACCGACCTTTTGTTCGGAGTGTAACCGACCTTTTGTTCGGAGTGTAACCGACCTTCTGTTCGGAGTGTAACCGACCTTTTGTTCGGAGTGTAACCGACCTTTTGTTCGGAGTGTAACCGACCTTTTGTTCGGAGTGTAACTGACCTTTTGTTCGGAGTGTAACCGACCTTTTGTTCGGAGTGTAACCGACCTTTTGTTCGGAGTGTAACCGACCTTTTGTTCGGAGTGTAACCGACCTTTTGTTCGGAGTGTAACTGACCTTTTGTTCGGAGTGTAACCGACCTTTTGTTCGGAGTGTAACCGACCTTTTGTTCGGAGTGTAACTGACCTTTTGTTCGGAGTGTAACCGACCTTTTGTTCGGAGTGTAACTGACCTTTTGTTCGGAGTGTAACCGACCTTTTGTTCGGAGTGTAACCGACCTTTTGTTCGGAGTGTAACCGACCTTTTGTTCGGAGTGTAACCGACCTTTTGTTCGGAGTGTAACCGACCTTTTGTTCGGAGTGTAACCGACCTTCTGTTCGGAGTGTAACCGACCTTTTGTTCGGAGTGTAACTGACCTTTTGTTCGGAGTGTAACTGACCTTTTGTTCGGAGTGTAACAGACCTTTTGTTCGGAGTGTAACCGACCTTTTGTTCGGAGTGTAACCGACCTTTTGTTCGGAGTGTAACCGACCTTCTGTTCGGAGTGTAACCGACCTTTTGTTCGGAGTGTAACCGACCTTTTGTTCGGAGTGTAACCGACCTTTTGTTCGGAGTGTAACCGACCTTTTGTTCGGAGTGTAACCGACCTTTTGTTCGGAGTGTAACCGACCTTCTGTTCGGAGTGTAACCGACCTTTTGTTCGGAGTGTAACCGACCTTTTGTTCGGAGTGTAACCGACCTTTTGTTCGGAGTGTAACTGACCTTTTGTTCGGAGTGTAACCGACCTTTTGTTCGGAGTGTAACCGACCTTTTGTTCGGAGTGTAACCGACCTTTTGTTCGGAGTGTAACCGACCTTTTGTTCGGAGTGTAACTGACCTTTTGTTCGGAGTGTAACCGACCTTTGTTCGGAGTGTAACCGACCTTTTGTTCGGAGTGTAACTGACCTTTGTTCGGAGTGTAACCGACCTTTTGTTCGGAGTGTAACCGACCTTTTGTTCGGAGTGTAACCGACCTTTTGTTCGGAGTGTAACCGACCTTTTGTTCGGAGTGTAACCGACCTTTTGTTCGGAGTGTAACCGACCTTTTGTTCGGAGTGTAACCGACCTTTTGTTCGGAGTGTAACTGACCTTTTGTTCGGAGTGTAACCGACCTTTTGTTCGGAGTGTAACCGACCTTTTGTTCGGAGTGTAACCGACCTTTTGTTCGGAGTGTAACCGACCTTTTGTTTCGTTCTCTGAGTATGCAAGAAAAGACTAAATTGCAAACTTAAAAAAAAATCATATAAAAGCCTAATTAAGTTACTATACTAGTTGAGGGAGGAAGAGAGAGAGAGGAAGGGAAGGAGAGAGGAAGGGAAGGAGAGAGGAAGGGAAGGAGAGAGGGAGGGATGGAGGGAGAGAGGGAGTATACAGTAAAGGGTGAGGGGTGGCTTGTGGTAGGGAGGTTATAGGCATGGTAGAGGGGCATGAGAAGTGGAACAAGAGGGGGTAGGGAGAGAGAGAGAGGGAGGGGGGGTCGTCACGACCCACACACCCGGGAGTACGACCAATCAGCTCCATAATCATGGCGTAATGGGATAGAGAGGGGGACACGTTGCCGGGAATCCCATATAAACGGCTTTTGATCTTAACTTTTAGAGGATCCAGCACACACACAGAGACACGACCCGACCCTTAAAACAAAAAGAGAGCGCTGGAACAAGAGAAATTTGATCTGTGATTCTCTTTTGCTTATTGGGTTATATAAATACCTGATGATTTAATTATAAAAAAAAAACGCGTCATGTCAGCAAAAAACATTAACAATCTCATATTCACTGTTTTGTTTTAGCTATGAGAATAAAACGTGATATTCATAGTGTACCGGACTACGGTACGCTGATAAGGGTCTTATTTACGTGGTGCATGACAACGGTAGAGTAGTTTATGCCTCGGTTTACGTGGTAAAGTTTGTCTTCGTAAAGGTTACAATGTGTAATTACAGTTTTGATTTGCCGAGGCATTTTGGGCAACGTAGCAACGATTGGCCTCATGTAGATCTATGACGACCCTGGTACCAAATAACAGTAATGACGTACTCTACATCAGTGGTACCACGCTACTGTACTCTGAATGAAGGTCATGACATCCGTGATACTAGACAACAGAAATGAGGTCCATGATTTCAGCTTTTCCATATTATGGTGCTCTGAATGAGGTCCTTGACGTCAGTGGTACCAGACAATGGTACTGTGAATGAGGTCCTGTCACTGGTACCAGACAACGGTACTCTGAATGTCTCTGACGTCAGTGGTACCAGACAATCGTACTCTGAATGAGATCCTTGACGTCAGTGGTACCAGACAACGATAACGAAGTCCCTGACGTCAGTAGTACTAGACAACGGTACTCTGAATGAGGTTCCCGTGACGTCAGGGCCTCAAATAAAGTGTTGGCAAGCACAGTCCACGTAATTAGTTAAAGACGTGACCAAATTAGCAACAGCTGAGATCTGCCGACCCGAGCAAGTTGATGAATAACCTTAGTGTTGACATGCAGGAGAACGGTGTTCGTGTTCCGTGTGGTGTACACACAGAGTAGAAGGGTCCGCTGTACAAGCAGTGTACAAGGGTGCGCTGTACACGCAGTGTACGAGGGTCCGCTGTGCAAGCAGGGTACAAGGGTTTGTTGTACTGGCAGGGTACAGGGGTTCGTTGTACAGGCAGAGTACAGGGGTTGCTGTACAGAGTACAGCAGGGGTTGTACAGAGTACAGCAGAGGTTGTACAGGCAGAGTACAGCAGAGGTTGTACAGGCAGAGTACAGCGGAGGTTGTACAGGCAGAGTACAGCAGAGGTTGTACAGGCAGAGTACAGCAGAGGTTGTTACAGGCAGGAGTACAGCAGAGGTTGTACAGGCAGAGTACAGCAGAGGTTGTACAGGCAGAGTACAGCAGAGGTTGTACAGCAGAGTACAGCAGAGGTTGTACAGGCAGAGTACAGCAGAGGTTGTACAGGCAGAGTACAGCAGAGGTTGTACAGGCAGAGTACAGCAGAGGTTGTACAGGCAGAGTACAGCAGAGGTTGTACAGGCAGAGTACAGCAGAGGTTGTACAGGCAGAGTACAGCAGAGGTTGTACAGGCAGAGTACAGCAGAGGTTGTACAGCAGAGTACAGCAGAGGTTGTACAGGCAGAGTACAGCAGAGGTTGTACAGGCAGAGTACAGCAGAGGTTGTACAGGCAGAGTACAGCAGAGGTTGTACAGGCAGGATACAGCAGAGGTTGTACAGGCAGGATACAGCAGAGGTTGTACAGGCAGAGTACAGCAGAGGTTGTACAGGCAGGATACAGCAGAGGTTGTACAGGCAGAGTACAGCAGAGGTTGTACAGGCAGGATACAGCAGAGGTTTGTACAGGCAGAGTACAGCAGAGGTTGTACAGGCAGAGTACAGCAGAGGTTGTACAGGCAGAGTACAGCAGAGGGTTGTACAGCAGAGTACAGCAGAGGTTGTACAGGCAGGATACAGCAGAGGTTGTACAGGCAGAGTACAGCAGAGGTTGTACAGGCAGAGTACAGCAGAGGTTGTACAGGCAGGATACAGCAGAGGTTGTACAGGCAGAGTACAGCAGAGGTTGTACAGGCAGAGTACAGCAGAGGTTGTACAGGCAGGATACAGCAGAGGTTGTACAGGCAGAGTACAGCAGAGGTTGTACAGCAGAGTACAGCAGAGGTTACAGGCAGAGTACAGCAGAGGTTGTACAGGCAGGATACAGCAGAGGTTGTACAGGCAGAGTACAGCAGAGGTTGTACAGGCAGAGTACAGCAGGGGTTGTAAAGGTAGAATAGAAGCCTGTGCTGTACAAATTGTTCTGGAGCTATGTTTCTGTTCTACTTCAGTACTAGTGTACTTTTTAAAGTGAATAACAGAGAACACATAAGTACTTTTCTGGTTATTTCCAAGTAGTCTCCGCGGTCCTGGTCTTGTACTTCCCGCCTCGGTCTCAGAACAGACCTCTTAAAAGTGAGAGGAAAATTTACACGACTAAGGACTATTGAGAAACACGCAAGAAAATAAAGATATGTGCATTAAATGATGAGAAACATACCTATGTATGTATGTTCAATGAGAATAGTAAGTTGTGGGAGGTACCTGTTATTCTACAACGTCAGGAGACGTTTTGCCAGTGCAAAACGTTGAATAATCTTGCTTGGTATGGCAAGATGGCAGTGCCTCTCTGGATAGTTGCTGTCCAAGTGTCTTGAGACCTATGTCTCCCATGGGAGGAGGTACAAGTACCTCCTCATCTTCTGGAACCAACTTTCCCCAGGCCTAGAGGACCCATTCCCCGCCCTCACGGGGCTCGTAGGGAGAAGTTAGGCTTCTGGTCTGCCATCTTCCCCGCCCCAGGGGGACTCGTGGGAGTGGTAGTCTTGTGTTCTGATGGTGGTAGCAAGCTCTAGCTCTGGCACCATCCCCGCCCCAGGAGGGCTCGTGGGAGTGGTGTCTTGGTTCCTTCATTTATAACCATTATTATTAAATCAATAATATAGAGATATTGTTTCACAGTGTGTTTAACTTTGTATTTCAGTTTGTGTGTTTCCTTGTGTTTCACCTTGCGTTACCTTGCATTCCACCTTGTATCAGATTGTTTCACCTTTCCTCTTGTGTTTCGGTTTGCTTCACCTGTTTCAATATGTTTCAGTTTGCGAGGTGGCTGAGCTTCTGAGTGCTCTGTCCACCAGGATGGCGGCCCGCAACACCCAGGACCGCGAGGCCGCCCACCTGCCCACCCGGGGCCGCCCACAGCCCCCCGCCCATGCCTCCACCCCTGCGGGCGTGGGCGGTAGTGGCTCTGTTGCTGCCACCTTCTCCACCACCACAGCCGTCACCACCCATGTGATGGAGAACCCCATGGCTGCTCCCTCACTCCTCCAACACAAGACACTTAAGGATAAATTGTCTACGATCTCCGCCGCCAGCAACACCACCACAACCACCACCAGCAATACCTTCACCACCACTTCCTCCAACACTTCTACCGAAGCCTCCCCCAACGCAGACGCCAAGACCAACCCGACCCTGTCCGATGCGTCAAGACCCGACGTGACACAGTGTGAGAAGGGCAAGACGTCGCCTGCTGCCACTACCGCTACTACCATGCCACCTACCACCACCACTACCACCCTGCCACCCGCAACAACCCTGCCGCCCACCACCACCCCGCCCAACTCCGACCCGCCACCACCCTACCAACTCGCTAGCAGCAAAGACTCGGTAAGTGCAAACTTCAAATCTTATGTGCGTCTAACTTAGTGTGGGGTGACTCTTAGGGTTTCCAGGGCTAACTTTGCGGCTTATCTTAAGTTGGCCAAGTCCAGACTCCCTTCAACTCTGTTTAAAGGACGAAGTAAAACGGCACAAGTCATTGTAGTCATTTTTCTTAAGTTATAGATGAAATCTACCCAGACAGAAGTGTTCAGTCACTTTGTATACCTTCTCAGCCTTAGTAAAACTTGGGCATCGACACCATGCCCAGCCCTTCTAGGGTAGGGTAGGTGCCTGAGCCCGAGCCTTTAGCTCATCAAGACTGTCATTCCCATTTGCCCCCTTGTGGCGGGGATGGCAGACCAGAGAGGCCTAGCTTGTGGCTAGGCCTGGGGACAGTTGGTCCCAAAGATGAGGAGGTACTTGTGCCTCCTCCCATGGGAGACTTAGTCTCAGACACTCCCTAAAGAGGGAGCCAAGGCCGGGCCACCACTTGGACAAGGCCCGGGCCGGGAGAATACCGGCGAATCTTTAATAATAATAATAATAATAAAACTTGGGTGGAAAAGTGCGTAGATTGTATAATTCCTACAACCGTGTAGAACACGTTTTTTTTAATTGGAAGTTTATTTATTCAGTTACGATCACTTTTGCAAAATTAGGCAAAGGCGTAATTATTATTATCATACAACTTCATCACAGTCAGTTATAGATCTACATAGATATACGCCTCTTGCAACAATTATAGATCTCTATTATGACGCTCAACACGTCGTATATACTCAACACTGCTCTTCAAGTCTCTGTACATGTTCTATATTTCTTGAAGATCTCTTTTCAAAATTAAATTGTATTTATTGAGCTTGGAAAAGGTATTTGATTCTTCTTCTAATGATTATTATTATATTACTATTACTACAACCCTGAGATAGTGATTTATGGATATTAATGTCCGAATATTTCATCAAATTTAACACTGTACAATTTTTGTTACAATAATAATTTGTGTTGGATCAGAAGTGTGCCAAGTGGACGAGCGGCAGCGAGCCAGAGAGAGACACCTGGAGCAAGAAGGTGGAATTCCTGCTGGCAGTGGTAGGCTTTGCTGTCGACTTGGGCAACGTGTGGAGGTTCCCTTACGTCTGTTACCAGAACGGTGGAGGTGAGTGCACGCGTTTTTGTTGCCTTTGGGTAGGGTGTTTGTGCCATTGAGTAGGGTGGTTATAGTATTGGGGAGAGTGTTTGTACCACCAGGGCTCAATCCTAAGGTACTTTCTCCCTGGTGTTCCCACAGGCGCCTTCCTGGTACCATACGTGATCATGCTGATCTTCGGGGGTCTTCCACTCTTCTTTATGGAGCTTGCCCTGGGCCAATACCACCGCAATGGCTGTCTCACTGTCTGGCGACGCATCTGCCCCATGCTCAAAGGTGAGTCTCCTGGCCAGTGTAACAGCAACGCTCTATGGAAAACTCAATGCTCTAGGCAAGCGTGGTGATCTAGAATATGTGCTATGATAGCAGGCAATTGAAGAAACAGGTGCTTATAGTGAGAGCAAGACTCTCTCATATAGTTGTACAACATCTAGTGTCGAATACGTACAAGCTACGTTTTAGTGTTGCAAGCTTCTTGACTACCTCGCTTGCAGGATTCAATGCACCAATCTTCCACGAACCTGTAGAGTCGTAGAGTCGTATTTCACTCCAAGAATATCCATTTCATCGTTAGGCATAAAGATTCTTCCATTCATTATTACTTCTGCTCACTTGTCTTAAGTCGTTTCTCAGAAGATGTAACCTGCCATTTTTGGCCTGAGGTTAACATAGTTACAAACTAGTGATTAATGTTCCTGAGGGCAGCTGCTGGCGTTCTCTCTCTCTCTCTCTCTCCCAGTGAGAACCTAATTCAATTTGAATGAGTCTGGTCTTAGTTAGACATATATACACAGCTGCTGGTCCAGACCTAAATTGCCGTAACTCTCATACTTGACCCCAAGACCAGAGGTGGAGGTAAGTTAGTGACCTTCGTAGTGATGATATATCTTGCTCTGCTCCTCCCCTTCACCGAGGTCAACCCTCTTCATTACGAAGGTAATCCTCCCTCCTCCCCCTCACCAAGATAAAGTGGAGCCAGTTCTCGGGTTTCGAAAGGCTGGACTCATGTTGTCCTGTTCCTTCATTAAGGTTTCACAAGGATGAACCGTGTTTGTCTCCTTGCTTCATTAATGTTTCTAAAAATTTGTGAAGCCTCGTTGCTTCATAAAGCTGAATAAATCGTACCAACACGCCATGTTTCTCCATCTGGTAATAATAATGTATTTTCACTGGACATAATCCAATCAGAAGGCGGTCATATTAGTGTTGCTGAATTCTGTTTGTGGTCAGGTAATAAATGAGAAGTTTAGCAGAGTTACCCTTCCTAATTATTTAAAATTCTCAGACTGTCATGACATAACTATTTTCTTACCTTAAATCTGCTTTTTCAATTGCTTTTAAACGCTTTAATCGATTGTTATAATATTTAACGATGACGTGTTTAGTGGGCTTTTTTTCCCGGAAGGTTTAATCGATTTTATCTTATTATTGACGATACATTTAATCTGTATCAGCAGTGCGGCGTCGGGTAACTATGCTAATCCTGTCGAATGAGCAAATAAATTTATTTGACACGTTTTGCATATGTAAAAATAACACACACTGTGTGTGTGTGTGTGTGGTGTGTGTGTGTGTGTGTGTGTGTGAGTGTGTGTGTGTGTGTGTGTGTGAGTGTTGTGTGTGTGTGTGTTATTTTCAGTCACTATTTAAATCATTACATTTAAATACTATAACCGTATTCCCTTGTCTATTAGCTTAATTAATGTAGTCAGCAGTCACACGAAACATGTAATTATAGATAAAATTATATTCCACTTTCATCGACACCATGCCTAACCCTTCTAGGGTAGGGTAGGTGCCTGAGCCCGAGCCTTTAGCTCATAAGACTGTCATTCCATTACCCCCTTGGGCGGGGATGGCAGACCAGAGAGGCCTAGCTTGTGGCTAGGCCTGGGGACAGTTGGTCCCAAAGATGAGGAGGTACTTGTGCCTCCTCCCATGGGAGACTTCGGTCTCAGACACTCCCTAAGGAGGGAGCCAAGGCCGGGCCACCACTTGGAAAAGGCCCGGGCCGGGAGAATACCGGCTAATCTTTAACTAATAATTATATTCCACTTCTTTATTGTAAAAAATATTATTATTGTGTTCCCACTGGTGTCTTTCGAGACCTCAGTATGGTCTGAGACATCTTGTGAGACCTCTGTGTGTCTGAGACACATCTTGCAAGACCTCTGTGTGTCTGAGACACATCTTGTGAGACCTCTGTGTGTCTGAGACACATCTTGTGAGACCTCTGTGTGTCTGAGACACATCTTGTGAGACCTCTGTGTGTCTGAGACACATCTTGTGAGACCTCAGTATGGTCTGAGACAACTTGCAAGACCTCTGTGTGTCTGAGACACATCTTGTGAGACCTCAGTATGGTTCTGAGACATCTTGCAAGACCTCTGTTGTGTCTGAGACAATCTTGTGAGACCCTCAGTATAGGTCTGAGACATCTTGCAAGACCTCTGTGTGTCTGAGACACATCTTGTGAGACCTCAGTATGGTCTGAGACATCTTGCAAGACCTCTGTGTGTCTGAGACACATCTTGTGAGACCTCAGTATGGTCTGAGACATCTTGCAAGACCTCTGTGTGTCTGAGACACATCTTGTGAGACCTCAGTATGGTCTGAGACATCTTGCAAGACCTCTGTGTGTTCTGAGACCATCTTGTGAGACCTCAGTAGGGTCTGAGATATCTTGCAAGACCTCTGTGTGTCTGAGACACATCTTGTGAGACCTCAGTATGGTCTGAGACATCTTGCAAGACCTATGTGTGTCTGAGACACATCCTGTGAGACCTCAGTATGGTCTGAGACATCTTGCAAGACCTTAAAATGTCTGAGACACATCTTGTGAGACCTCAGTATGGTCTGAGACATCTTGCAAGACCTATGTGTGTCTGAGACACATCCTGTGAGACCTCAGTATGGTCCTGAGAATCTTGCAAGACCTTTTGGTCTGAACACATCTTGGGAAAAACCCCCAGTTTGGGGGTTTTAACGGGGAAATAGTTTCTAACTTTCTTTTGGGAAGTTGGAGGGGGGGGTGGGGGGGGTGGGGAAAGTGGGGGAAAGGGGGGGGCGGTTTTGGGAGGAGGTGGGGGGGTAGGAGGAAGGAAGGGGGGGGAAGGGGAAGGGGAGGGAAGGTGGGAGGAGGAGGGGGGAGGGGAGGAGGAGGGGAAGGTGGATTTGGTAGGCAGGGGAAGGGTGGGGTAAGGTAGGCAGGGGAAGGTAGTGGGGTTAAGGAGGAGGGGAAGGTAGTGAGGTAAGGGGGGGGGGGAAAGGGGGAGTTTTGGGGAGGGGAGGTGGAGGTAAGGTAGGAGGGGAAGGTAGTGGGTAAGGTGGAAGGGGGGGGGGGTTTAAAGGGGGGGGTTTGTAGGAAAGGGGAGGGGGGGTAAGGGTGAGGGGGGGAGGGGAGGAGGAGGGGGGGGAAATTTAGGTAGGTGGAAAATTGGGGAAAGGGGGGGGTTATTTTGGGCCTTTTTTTGGAGGGGGAATTAAAGGTAGGGAGGGGGGGAAGGGGTTGGAGGGGAATAGTGAAGGGGGGGAAGGGGGTTTTTAAAAGGTTTAAAAGGGGGGGGGAAATTTGGGGTTTGGGGCGGGGGGTTAAAAAAAAAAATTAAGGGGGGGGGAAAAATTTTTAAAAAAAGGGGGGGGTGGGGGGGAAAAGGGGAATATTTGGGTAATGGGGGGGGGAAGGGGGTAATTTAAGGTAGCAAAAGGGAAAATTTTTGGGGGAGGATTTTTTAATTAGGTATAAAATGAGGGGGACCCAAAAAGGGAAGTTTTATTTAAATTTTGAAGAAAAGTTTTAGGAAATTTTTACAGGGGGGTTTTTTAAATTTTTTAAAATTTTTGGGGGGGAAATTCGCCCCCTTTTTTGGGTTTTAAAATTTTAAAAATTTTTCCCCTTTTATTTTTTAAATTTTTTAATAAAATGGGGGGGAAACAAAAATTTTTCCTTTTATTTTTTTGGGGGTTTTTTTTACGGGTTTAAATTGGGGGTTTTTGGGGGGGGGTAAATAAGAAATATTTAAAAAATAATCCCGGGGAAAACCCGTAAGAAAAAAATAAAGGGGAAGAAAAAACAAATTGGGAAAAAAAAATTAAAAAGGAAAAAAGGAAAGGGGGGGAAATTTTTTAATGGGGGGAAATTTAAGTAAAAATTTTTTTTAAAAAGGGGGGAAATTTGGGTGGGGTGGGGGGGGGAAAAAAATTTAAAAGGGAAAAAATTTTTTAAAAAATTTGGGTTGGGAGGGGGGGGGGAAAAGAGGGGGATTTTTAAGGGGGGAAAGTTTTAACGGTAGAGGGGGGGTTTTAAATGGGGGGGGTTTGGTTTTGGGGGGAATTTAATAAAAATTTTTGGGGGGGGGGGGTTTTTTGGGGGAAAAGGGGGGGTTTTTAAATTAAAGGGGGGAATGTATTAAGGGGGGGGGGGAATTGAGGTATTTAGGGGGGAATTTAAGGGGGGTTTTAATGGGGGGGAAATTTTATTTGGGGGGGGGAATTTTAAATTGGGAGGGGGGGGGGTTTGGTGGGGGGGTTTTTGGGGAAAAATTTTTTGGGGGGAAGGGTATAAAAAAAAGGAGTAAATTGGGGGGGAATTTATTAGGGAAAAGGTTGGGGGAAGGTAAAAAAGGGGGGGTATTTAAGGGAAAAATAGGGAAAAGAAATTTTTGGGGGAATTGGGAATTTGGGGGGGATTATATTTGGAAAGGGGGGGGTGGGGGATAAATTTGGTAATTTTAAGGGGGAATTTGTGGGTAATGGGGGGATTGGGGTTTTTGGGGGGGGAAAAAGGTTTTAGGGGGGGAAAAGGTGTAAAAGGTAAAGGGGGGGGTTTTTGAGGAATAGGGGGGGAGGTTGGAGGTGGGGTGGGGGAGGGGAAGGTAGTGGGAAGGTGGGGAGGGGAAAATAGTGAGGTAGGTGGGGGGGAAGGTTTGTGGGTTAAGGGTAGGGGGGGAAGGGTAGTGAGGTAGGTAGGGGGGGGAAAGGGTAGTGAGGAAAGGTAGGAGGGGAAGGTTTAGGGGGGTAAGGTGGGGAGGGGAAGGTAGTGGGTAGGTGGGGGGGAAGGAGGGGGTAAGGTAGGAGGGGGTAGTGGGAAAGGTAGGGGGGAAGGGTAGTGAGGTAAGGTAGGGGGGGGAGGTGTGAGGTAAGGGGGGGGGGGGGAAAGGGTAGTGAGGTAAAGGGGGGGGAAAAAAAGTAGTGGGGTTTAAGGTAGGGGGGGGAAGGTAGTGAGGAAAGGGTGGGGGGGGGGAAAAGGTAGTGAGGAAAGGGGAGGGGGGGGAAGG